CCCTGCTCAGTGCAGGCCAGGCAGGCTGGAGAGGGGTCCCTGCGCCAGTCCCCTCAGCACACACCCTGCAGTGGCGGCCTGCTGGAGCATCAGGTGGCCACACTGCCATGGTCAAAGACAGAGACCTCAACCCTACCTGGTGCCGGACGGTGAACTTTGAAGAGCCTGTGCAATGTCCAGACGTAGATCACTCAGCGAGGCAGGGAGACGATGAGGGTGGGGAGAACCTGGACAGACCAGGCATTGACCCACGGAGCCCTGCTAGCCTTGGAGCCTCTCAGATCTAATCTAGAAACAGCTGAACAAACTGTAGGCACAAGTTTGTTTGTTGACACTATCTGTGGAAATGGAGGATGGTGCCGACGGCAATTTTATTCAACGATGGACAAAACTTCTGTGCCTCTGAGTTGTAGTGTGTAAATGCCAGAACCTCCACATTTATGTGACAGACGAAAGCCCCAACAGGGGATTTGGTCACATAACAGATTTCGCAGAGTGGACTCCCAGACGCCATGGAGCGGAGGGGTCGGTCTTTGCGTGCTGAGGTGGAGAGATGGCCACGAGCGCTCACTGGGTGAAAAGGCAAGTGACAGAACTAGAGGGACAGAGCAATCCCCCTCAAGTGAGAAAGAGGAGAAAGAAGAAAGGAAGGGAGGAAGGGAGGGGCAGGCTAGGAGCAATGAATCTGGGGCCTGCCAGCTGAGCCATCTGCCTGTGTTCAGGGCAGCTGCCGGCCCAGGCTCAGGGCACCCATCTGCATGAAGGAAGAGGAAGACTCAGGCAGTCTCCAGCACCCACAGCACCCCACGGCCCAACCTCATTCCACCCCCACAGATCAGGGCACGCCTGTCACTGACTTCCTTCCTCCTGAAATCAGCCCACCTGGTGCTATCGGCCCATCCCCAAACATCTAAAAGGCTCTGTGGGAAACAAGGTTTGATTCCCTCTTTGAGCTCTGGGACAGATTCCCGAACCATGCACCAAAGGTTCAAGGTGGTTCCATTTTACCTGAAGCAACGTGTTTCTGAAGATCCTACACAGTTCAATATACACATTTATCAAGACGAATCTTTCACTTAGGCGTGTGTGTGTGTGTGCGTGTGTGTGTGTGTCTGCGTGTGTGTGTGTGTCTGCGTGTGTGTGTGCGTGTGTGTGTGTCGTATCTTTCCACTTTAAGAGCTTCTTTCATCTTCTCCACGACCTTGTCTTCTACCTCACAGATTCTCAGACATTGAGTGTTGTTGGAGTTTCTCAGCTCTGGCAGCAGCGCTGTGACTGAAAGCACGCCCATTTCTCACTGTGACAAGCGCTGAGAAACAGCGTGCTCACGGACAGCACTTGCAGAAGTGAGCCGCTGGGACAGGGCTGCCAGGATTCAAGATGCTGAGGATGCAACTGTGACAACAGTTTGCTGACTGCTTGCATGGCGCCACCATGTGGCCATATTGTGCCATGTGTCCACATGCCCAAGACCTGTCATCTTTAAGATCACTCCTCCAAGTAATTTTTTTTAATTTGAAATCATATTATCTTCAAAAATTGTGCACAAAGTGAGGCTTTTTGAGAAGTTTTTGACATGCAATTTTAAATTAACATAATTTATGCCTATAGAAAATAAGAGCACACCAAGAGGAAGGTGCGTCCTGGAGGAAGGCCTGGAGGAGGGCAGGTCAGGGCTGCGTGCTTGCTGGGAGGCTTTAGAGATCCATGGCTTAGATTATCCATCACTCTTAGAGGAAAAGCTTTTAATGAGATGGGGATGTTGAATTCCAAAGCAGAGAGTGAGCTCTAGGTTGACAATGCTGTGACAGCCGGCTCCCTGGGCAGGTGTGGGGCCTCCCAGGGCTGGGGCAAGTACAGCCGAGACCAGCCTGTCTGAGCCTCTGAGAAGGGACCCTGCTTTCAACTCCCCTCACCCCCTGAGGTTGAGGCAGGACTAGGATCCAGAAAGGCTCAATGGACCCAAAATAGAGGGCGTCTTCCCAGGTAGCTCCAGGAGACAGGACTCCACTGGGCAGGCCAGGTCTAGCACCGCAGGCTAAAGTGCAGCAGGGCCCTGGGCCCATCCAGGAGGGTGGACCAGAGTGCGGCCTCTAGAGAAGCACGGGGGCTGCCACCCAGAGCTCATGGGTGCCAGGAGGGAGACACGGCGAGCAGGCCTGAAGGAACCTCCAAGGTGCTGAGGGAATTTCTGCTATTTAAGCCACCCAGTTATGGCATTTTGTTTTAATAGCCCAAGCCCCCTCCTCTCCCATTACACACATGTTTTCTTATGTATGTATATTAATATAGAGAGAAATTTGGCCAGGCATGGTGGCTCACGCTTATAATCCCAGCACTTTGGGAGGCCAAGGCAGGTGGGTCACATGAGGTAAGGAGTTAGAGACCAGTCGGGTCAACATAGTAAAAATACAAAAATTAGCCATGCGTGGTGGCATGTGCCTGTAATCCCAGCTACTCGGGAGGCTGAGGCAGGAAAATCGCTTGATCTCAGGAGGCAGAGGTTGCAGTGAGCCGAGATCATGCCACTGAACTCTAGCCTGAGCAACAGAGCTAGATTCCAACTCAACTCATGAATAAATAAAGGGAGACATATTTCTCCCTATATTTATAGTGTTTATATATATATTATATAAAAATATGACATATATTTGTATTTATAAAGCAATCTATATATTTAATATGTTAATACATTAAATATAGATTTCATATACATTATATATATGTATACACATATATATATACACATACACATATAAAAAGGAATTTATTTCTTTGCTGTTCTGACACTTCCCTGCTCTTCTTTTCCGTGATGTTTCTGGCCTTTATCTCTGATTCCTGGAGACAGCCTCTAATCCTTAGAAATTCTTGGGTGAGAGACCTGTCTGTTACTCGTGGTGGGCCCCCCCAGGGTCACACCTGAGTTCATGCCAACCAGATGGCTTGGCCAGGGGACCAACCACACCAGAAAGACCAACCATGTGATTTGAAGGTTGCAACTCTGAGCCACATGGTGTCAATCTGACCTCCAGAACAGAACTGGGGGGCTAGGGATGGACTCAACTCCCTGGCCAATGGTTGAATCAACCAGGCCAATGTAATAAAACGCCTGGCCATGGAGGCCCAGGTGAACTTCCCTGGTTGGTGATACACATCAGTGTGCTGAGAGGATGATGCATCCAGAGGACACAGAAAGGTCATCTTTGGGACCCTCTCAGAGTTTACACTATGTGTCTCGGCTCTTGGCTGGTCTTAACTTTTGTCGGTGTTTTTCTCATATAAAACAATAATGAAAGGCTCATGCTCAGCCAGGAACAGTGACTTATTGCCTGTGATCCCAGCACTTTGGGAGGTCAAGGCCAGACCATCATCTGAAGTCAGGAGTTTGAGACCAGCCTGGCCAACATGGTGAAACCCTGACTCTATGAAAAATACAAAAAGTAGCCGGGTGTGATGGCACATGCCTGTTATCCCAGCTACTTGGGAGGCAGAGGTTGCAGTGAGCTGAGATTGTGCCACCACACTTCTGTCTGGGCGACAGAGTGAGACTTCATCTCAGAAAAAAAAAAAGAAAGAAAGAAAGAAAAAGAAAAAGAAAGTATCACGCTTTTCTGAGTTCTTTGAGTTGTTATAGAGAATTATCAAACTTGAGAGCATTGTGGGAACCTCCAAATTTGTAACCAGTTGTGAGAAGTACATGTGGTCTGAGATTACCCAAACTTGCAGCTTGCATCTAAAGTGAGGGCAGCCTAGTGAGAGCTTGTGGACTTAACCTGTGGCATCTGATGTAACATCAAGGAGTTGACATCAGAATTGTGTCACACAGGCCAGGTGTTGTAGCTCTTGCCTGTAATGCCAGCACTTTGGGAGGCACGATAAGAGGATCGTTTAAGCTTGCCTCTGAGGCTACAGTGAGCTACGGCTGCACCACTGCACTTCAGTCTGGGTGACAGAGCAAGGCCCCAACTCCACAAATAAAAAAGAAAGCTAAAAAAGAATTGCATGGCAGGTTGCCTGTATTTAATGGCTTCAAATGTTGCAAGAACTTTCTCTTTTTTTGGGATGGGGGAGACAGAGTCTTGCTCTGTCACCCAGGCTGGAGTGCAGTGGTGCCATCTCTGTTCACTGTAACCTCCACCTCCTGGGTTCAAGTGATTCTTCTGCCTCAGCCTCCTAAATAGCTGGAATTGCAGGCATGCACTACCATCCTGAGCTAATTTTTGTATTTTTAGTAGAGACAGGGTTTCACCATGTTGGCCAGGCTGGTCTCGAACTCCTCTTGGGATCACAGGCATGAGCCACCATGCTCAGACACCTTTAGAGTTTTCTTACCACCTGGTTTTCCTCTCTCAATATCTTTCCTTCATTTCCTGCTTTAAAACTCTAGCTTGGGGGCTGAGTGTGGTAGCTCATGTTAGAATCCCAGCATTTTGGGAGTCTGAGGTGGGTAGATCACTTGAGGTCAGGAGTTCGAGACCAGCCTGGCTAATATGGTGCAACCCTGTCTCCACTAAAAATACAAACATTACCCCAGCATGGTGGCATGCACCTGTAGTCCCAGCTACTCAAGAGGCTGAGGCAGAAGAATAGCTAGAACACAGGAGACTGAGGTTGCAGTGAGCTGAGATCATGTCACTGCACTCCAGCATGGGTGACAGAGTGAGATTGTGTCTCAAAACAAAAACAAAAACAAACAAACAAAAAACTTTAGCTTGAGATCAGCCTTCTCTTCTATTTTTTTTTTTTATAAATGTAGATGCTATGTTGCCCAGGCCGGCCTCAAACTCCTGGGCTGCAGTGATCCTCCCACCATGACCTCCAAAAGTGCTGGGATTACACCTATGGGCACTGCACCTAACTTTAACTTTTTTTACATAAAAAATAATACAGGATTGTCTTCCAGAGCTAATAAATATGTTCAAAGAACCACAACCCCATTAAGAAAAAATGTTACTTCACAGCAAATAAGCAACCTAAGACCAACATGATCACACTCTCTCTGAAGGTGAGAAAACTGTCTTTATTACATTTCCCTGAGAGACGCACTGCACTGTTCTCTTGAGAACACACAGCTCATGTCCTCCTGTAAAACACACATCCTCCTTAAAATAACGTACAAACATATCAATACAAGGCAAAAAATTACATCTGAATTCTCACATTTCAAAAACATACACTTAACATCAAATAAAAATGTATTTTCAAGAATTTAGGGGAACTGCCATGTAGCTATAAAGGTAATATGTTAAGTAAGTATCGTAGATAAAAACAGTGCTTCCTTTGGCACCACAGGTAATGACACATACAAAGGTTTAAAGATAAAAGATTTAGGATTAAAAGAATCCTCTCCTAAAAAGGAAAACAAAATTACATTTTTGTGTACATAACAGCTATAGCTGTTTATGAACTTTATAGGAACAACATCTATTCAAAATACCAGGATTTCCACTATTTAAAATAAATGCAGTAATCATTCGTTGCTCATCTTTTTCACATAAACCTATAAAATGTATAGTATATATTAGACAAATTAGTATATATCTAAGACATGTTAAAAATCACAGCTGAATTCTCACCATTCAGTAAGGAACACTAAATAGCAAATAAAATTTTCTATTACAAGAATTTAAGGGAACTACCACACAGCTATAAATATAGTAGATTACCATGTAAGTATCTTGGATAAAAAGAGTGCTCGCTTCAGAAGCACATATAATAATAGATAAAACAATTTAAAGACAATAGATTTAGGATAAAAATTCTTTCTTAAAAATGAATATTATATTTATGTATATATAACAGCTATAACTCTCATCAAAAAACTCTACAGGGATGGCATGTTTTCAAAAGTACAACAATTTCCAAACTATTTGAAATAAGCATATTAATAATTCCATGGCCAACATTTTCCAAACAAAACAATAAAATGCATAGTACTTGTTAAGCTATCTGTTACAATCCTATGGCACTCATATTTTACAAATAATTCCGTGCCAATCTGAGCACCTGTACTGTGCCTTGAAATGCTCCTGGACTGTGGCAACCAAGTCCATAGGAAACAGAACCTCCAGGTTCCACCCCAGGGAGGCTGAAATTCAGCAATATAAAAAAAGGGAAGTGGAGCTGCAGGAAAAGGTGGAACCAGAAACACCCCTGGTTTCTCACTGTCCTCCACAGAGGCTTAGAAGTACCCCCACCCACCCCTGATCCTAGAAGGACAGCAGGATCACTCTATTCATCTCCTTCTAGAACAATCCAGGTTCTTCTAGTTGATCTGCACAAATGGCTGCTCTCGTCCTTAATGGTGTCTGCCACTAGCATTGGAGTAAACTTGCTGCTGAAAACCCACATCTTCCCTGGCTGGGCCTGGTGTTCTGGAAGTGAGAGAGAGAGAATGTCATATTTCAAGGAGGCTGTTCTCTAGACAGGAGGTTATTCACATCCCACGTCAGTTCTAACTAGAGTTCAGAGCAATTGATCAATCCAATTTTATCTCCTGCCCTTCATTCTCTACCCTGCTTCTGAACCATCGTGTTCAATTGTGATATTGACACTTCGGTGACCCTGACTCCAGAACTCACTGAATACACCCACGGTCAGCCCCAGTGATCTGCTTCAGAGCAAGGACTTTGGGTGGGTCTGCCTGAGGAGTAGAGCACCCTCAGAGAATGTGGCTTTGGACTTTATCACACCTGGGACCTTTTGTGTCCCTTAAGATGACTGTAACCATGCTAGCTATGTTTCTAATGTGACAACATCACAAACCACCAGTCCAGAGCCTAATCCATAATCTCACTTCCTAATGGTTAAGGCTCATGCTGAGTCCTCAGTGTGATTAGCTGCACAAGATGTAAATCAAATCTTCACTAAGTCCTCCACCTGCATCGGTAACTCAAGTGCTTCAATCACAATGAACCTCCGGAACTCAGTATTTATGATGATTTTTGAGACATGGTCTCACACTGTTGACCAGGATAGAGTGCAGTGGCAAGATCAGCGTTCCCTGAAGCTCCAAACTCCCAGGCTCCAGAGATCCTCCCTCTTTAGCCTCCTAGAGATGCCTCCCACATTGCCCAGATAATTTTTTTTTTTTTTTTTGAGACAGAGTCTCACTCTATCGCCAGGCTGGAGTGCAGTGGTGTGATCTTGGCTCACTGCAACTTCCGTTTTCCGGTTTACAGCAATTCTCCTGCCTCAGCCTCCTGAGTAGCTGGGACAACAGGCAAGCACCACCACGCCTGGCTAGTTTTTTGTGCTTTTAGTAGAGACGGGGTTTCTCTCTACTGTTGGCCAGGATGATCTCGATCTCTTGACCTTGTGATCTGCCCGCCTCGGCCTCCCAAAGTGCTGGGATTACAGGCATGAGCCACCGCCTGTAATTTTTGTATTTTTGTGGAGAGGGGATCTCGCCATGTAGCCCAGGCTTGAAGCTGGATCAAGCAATTGGGTTCCTCGGATTTCCTAAATAGACCACAATATTCTGCCTTTATCCTGGAGGATGCAGATGTACCTTCCCTCAGGCCGATGACCTCAGGCCTCCACGGTCCCTGGAGCACTAGGAAGGAGGGTGCGATCTCGAGTCCACACCCAGTGCTCTGGGTCATAAGCCTGGATCTGAAAAAACAAATACCCCTTGAGAAGATGGGGACTCCCCAGGATACCCCTCCCTCCCCTCATCCAGCCTCCAACCCACCTGATTCCTTCCCACCTCCTCCACCTCTTTATGCTCCACTCACCTCCTCCAACTCCTCCCGGGAAACCCAAGTTCTCCAGCGCATGGAACAAATGAACTGGAGTCGAAGCTTGTGGAACAAGGGTCGCTGGGAGTGGTTCTTCCCGTACAGGAAGTAGAACATGTCTTGTTTGGGGGCCTGGTTATCCTCCTCCATGTCATTGGCCAGGTAGCTGGGGGCAGAAATCAGGTTGCTGCTCAGGGGCACCACCAGGAGAGACCTCTGAGGTCAGCTTTCCAGAGAGGAGGGCAGGGCACCGTCCTCAGCTCAGGACTGGCACTCACCCTGCAGACAGCCATTCCTTACTCAGGAGGGTCTTTCTGGACAGAGATCACCTTCAGGGTGGAGACAAAAACCCAACTGGTAGCCGAGAGTGGTGGCTCAAGCCTGGAATCCCAGCACTTTGGGAGGCCGAGACAGGAGGATTGCTTGAGGCCAGGAGTTTGAGACAAGCCTGGACAACATAGCAAGACCCTTGTCTCTATTAAAAATGTTAAAAAACTGGCCGGGCATGGGGGCTCATGCCTGGAATCCCAGCACTTTGGGAGGCTGAAGCGGGTGGATGGCTTGAGGCCAGGGTTTGAGACCAGCCTGGTTAATATGGTGAAACCCCATCTCTAGTAAAAATCAAAATCAGCCTGGTGCAGTGGCACAAGGCTTAGTTCTAGCTACTCAAGAGGTTGAGGCACAAGAATGGCCTGAACCCAGGAGGCAGAGATTGCAGTGAGCCGAGATCAGGCCACTGCATTCTAGCCTGGGAGACAGAGCAAGACTCTGTCTCAATAAATAAATCAATAGGCCATGTGCAGTGGCTCACGCCTGTAATCCCCACACTTTGGAGAGCCAAGGCAGGCAGATCACAAGGTCAGGCGATTGAGACCATTCTGTTTAACATGGTGAAACTCCATCTCTACTAAAAATACAAAAAATTAGCCGGGTATGGCAGCGTGTGCCTGTAGTCCCAGCTACTCTGGAGGCTGGGCAGGAGAATTGCTTGAACTGGGGAGACAGAGGTTGCAATGAACCGAGATCATGCCATTCCCCTCCAGCCTGGGCAACAGAGCTAGACTTCATTTCAAAAATATTTTTTTAATAAATTAAACAAATGAATAAATAAATAACTGTCCAGGTTTGGTGGCACAGCCCTGTAGTCTGAGCTAATCAGGAGGCTGAGGTGGGAGGATGGCTTGAGCCCAGGATATGGAGGCTGCAGTGAGCTATGATCTCACCACTGCACCCCGGCTTGGGAGACACAGCAAGTCTCTGTCTCAAAAAATAATAATAATAATAATATAGGATACATTGACATTTTGCCAAACCCTGCCTTCTACAAGCATCTAGTCTAATGGGACTGAGAGAAATCAGGACAGATCACCTAATCCCAATATCATATTATAATAGGATGTAACTGGAGCACTGTGGGCGTGCAGAGGTGAGAAGATGAGAGCAGGCACCACAGAGGCTGTGGGGTGAACTGACTTCAAGGAATGGGTCATTCTCTTCAAAACCACATGTGTGCAGGACCCAAGATGGAAAACACAAATGCAAAGTTGAGCGGCGGACATTTGGAAGGAGTAGTGAAACTGAGCCAGGAAACACCGAGAGCATGAGCCGGTTTGGCTGCAGAGAGATTGCAGAGAGGGTGGAATTGGCACTGTGGACCTGGCCTCGATTTAGAAAGACATCAGCCAAGGAAGCTGTTCAGGTGGGCAGTGGGGGCATCGGACCTGTGCTTTTAAGAGATGTTCAGGCTGCACTAGGAAGCCCCCTGGCTTGGGGAGAGGCTCCAGGAGGCCCCAGCAGGGAGCACCTGACAGTGGATTTGAGTGATGTGAGGGGACCTGAACTGTGGCCTCTGTCATGGGAACGCAGAGGAGGACGATGAACAATTGCATTTGGGGTTGAAGTGTAAAGGAGAAAAACAGAAGAACCAGAAATGGCTGGTGCTGGGGGAGCCTCATGTCCACTCTTTTTCCTCTTCCGTTAGGAGGGGATTATGCTTCCTTTTGTTTTATTCTTTTATTTTAAACTGGCTTTTCAGTTTTTTTGTTTGTTTGTTTGTTTCTGAGAAAAAGTCTCAGTCTGTCACCTAGGCTGTAGTGCAGTGGCTCAATCTTAGCTTACTGAAACCTCCGCCTCCCGGGTTGAAGCCGTTCTCTTGCCTCAGCCTCCCTAGTAGCGGGGATTACAGGTGCACACCACCATGCCTGGCTAATTTTTGTATTTTTTAAGTAGAGACAGAGTTTCACCATGTTGGCCAGGCTAGTCTTGATCTCCTGACCTCAGGTGATTTTCCCACCTTGGCCTCCCAAAGTGCTGGGATTACAGGCGTGAGCCACCTCACCCAGCCTGAGTTTGTTTTTAGGTGGAACAGTCTAAGAACACCTTTAGTATAATAGTATAATAACTATAACGCATAGTATAATCCTGCCTTTTTTATACACAGAGTAAAGAGGACAAACAGGTGAAAGAATAAATGAAAGTTTCAAATCCCACTTCCCCTGCTGTCCCAGGGTGTTGGATATTGATGGATAGGAGGAAGCAAACCACTCACAGAGCCAGGAAGAAATGAATGCGTCGGTATTGCCAGGAGAAGAGGCCGGCGCGGCTAAAATACGCTATGACCATTGCCAGGAGGTACTGATGGAGAGAAAGGAACAAAGAGAGGGAGGGGTCACATCTTGGAAGAGGAAGATCGTGGAGATGAGGGAATGGGAGACTGGGGAGGGGTTGCCCATCAGAGAAGGGACCTCAGTGTTGGGGTGACTGTGCTTATTTGGAAACTGCGGGGTTGAGGGCTATTGCAAATCCAAGAAGCTAGAGGAAGGGATGTTGGTGGTGCTCCCAGGATGGTGAGCTCTGATGGGATCTTTGAAGGGAGATGTCCAGGTTGCCTGGTGTCAGGAGGGTCTTTGTGTGCCAGGCAGAGAACTGTCCCAAAGAGCTGAGAGTAGAGGGGTCAGGAGCTTCAGGGCTGCAGCTAGACTGTGGCCCAAGGCTCAGATCCCAAAGGACCTGTAGGAGAGGCAAGGGCCACTCATTCACTCTGCAAGAGACCAGCAGAGTCCCCAGGGAGATGCTGACAAATCATAAAAAGACTGAGAATAGCCAGGAGTAATGGCTCAAGCCTGTGACCCCAGTACTTTGAGAGGCCGAGACAGGAGGATCATGTGAGCCCAACAGTTCAAGAACAACCTGGGCAACACAGTGAGATCCTGTTTCTACAAAAATTAGTCGAGCATGGTGGCATGTGCCTGTAGTCCTAGCTACTCAGGAGACTTTGGCAGGAGGATTGCTTGAGCTCAGGAATTAGAGGTTGCAGCAAGTTATGATCATGCCACTGCACCCTATTCTGGGGAGCAGAGCTAGACTGTTCCTCAAAAAAAAAAAAAAAAAAAAAAAAAAAAAAAGGCGGGCACTAAGACTCAAGACCATGGGAGCTGGCCTGGCACAGTGGCTTGTCTATAATCCCAGCACTTTGGGAAGCCAAGGATGGCAGATCACCTGAGGTCAGGGATTGAAGACCAGCCTGGCCAACATGGCAAAATCCTGTCTCTATTAAAAACACAAAAATTAGCCAGGCATGGTGGTGCACACCTGTAATCCCAGCTACTTGGGAGGCTGAGGCAGGAGAATTGCTTGAACCTGGGAGGTTGAGGCTGCAGTGAACCAAGATCATGATACTGCCCTCAGCCTGGGCAACAGAGTGAGACCCTGTCTCAGAAAACAAACAAACAAACAAAAAAAGAACAAAAACCCTAAAGACTGGGAGCATCAGGTGGGAGGTGGTGGAGGGAGAGAGGAGTGGAACTGTGCATGTGGAAGCTGCACCCTCCCCCAGGCTGTGTGTTGGAGCAGGAACACAGTTCCCTGGAGAACAACCTTACCTTGTCCGATAACCTCAGATCTTTGTCCCAGGCCAGGAATTTTTTAACAACAGGATCCTCTGTGATTAGAGAGCAGACGCTAGCATGAGAAGTGGAACAGAGTTTCCGTGGGAGCAACAGGGCAGCAAGGAGAACTGTGCCTCCCTGGGGACAGTCTCAGGATTGTGGCCACAGGTAAGGTGGATGGATAGGAGAGAATGACTTTCACTGGTTAAGGGAGAGAGGCTCCCACTCTGAGACTGCCCTGAGAAGAGGTTGAAGGAGGCCCTGGGTGTGTGAATCTATAGGATGTAGAGCTGGGAAGAAGCCTGGATGCCCTCCCCGCAGACATGCAGGGACCACTGCAGAGTCACAAAGTCATTCCCATCATTTTATCGTGAGACAGTCACATCAGGGTGTGACCATGGCCTTGTTATCCCCCTCTACAGATGGAGACAGTTAGGGTTAGAAAAGTCAGCACAAGGCCGGGCGTGATGACTCACATCTATAATCTCAGCACTTTGGGAGGCTGAGGTGGGCAGATCACAAGGTCAGGAGTTCAAGACCAGCCTGGCCAACATGGTGAACCCCCTTCTCTACTAAGGATACAAAAAATTAGCCAAGAGTGGTGTCATGTGCCTGTAATCCCAGCTACTCAGAAGGCTGAGGCAGGAGAATTATTGAACCCGGGAGGCAGAGGTTGCAGTGAGTCCACATTGTGCCAGGCACCCCAGCCTGGGTGACAGAGCAAGACTCTGTCTCGAAAGAAAAAAAAAGTCAGGAAGAGACATTAAGTTTCAGAAGGCACAGCTGAAACTGCTTTGTTTTCTGATTTTGTTTTTCTTTATCTTATTTCTATTTATTTATTGGAGACAGAGTCTTGTTCTGTCACCGAGGCTGAAAAGCAGTGGCACAATCTCAGTTCACTTGCAACCTCCGCCTCCCAGGTTCAAGCGATTCTCCTGTCTCAGCCTCTGGAGTAGCTGGGATTATAGACGTGTGTCACCACATCTGGCTAATTTTTATATGTTTAGTAGAGACAGGGTTTTGCTATATTGGTCAGGCTGGTCTCACCTGACTTCAGGTGATCCACCTGCCTCAGCCTCCCAAAGTGCTGGGATTACAAGCATGAGCTACTGTGCCCGGCCTTTGTTTTTCTTCTGAGACAGGGTTTTGCTCTGTCACTCGAGCTGGACTGCAGTGGTCATAACTCACCACAGCCACAAAATCCTGAGTTCAAACGATCCTCTTGCCTCAGCATCCTAATGTGCTGGGATCTCAGGCATGAGCCACTGCAACTGGCCTGAAACCCAGCTTTCTTATCCCAGTCACAGACCTTTATCAAGTCCAGCCAAATCCTCGATTGCCTCCTAAACGTCCCTCCTGAGTGATCACTTCTGAGTCCTCCCGAATGCAGAGCTCACCCACTGGGGTTGGGTGGGGGAGACATATTTCTCCCATGGAAAAAGTATGGTTACGGGAAGTTTCTTCTTTTTAAAAGAACGGGATTGGAGGTGCTCTCTGGGGTGTCCTACCGAGCAGCCTGTTGAAGGCCTCGTGGTGTTCAGGGAGCACGGGTGACACTCGCCGCCGCTTCAGCTTCATTTTGAGGCCGTGGAGAGACTCCACCACCCAGGTCTCCTCAGGCTCAGGGTCGTGCGACTTCTCTGGCTCCTCCTCCGGCTCCTCCTCAGATTCGTCTGACCACTCCCTCTTCCTTTTCCAACAAAGGGACCTACGTGGGGGGCTGATATCTACCCAAGGGACTGAGTAAAGAAAGCAAGCCATCATGTAACGCTTCTACAATTGATCACCTTAGACCCCAACTCAAAACCCCAAACCGCTCTCCACCCTCCCCGGCCTCGCAGACTGTCTGCTTCTGCACGTCTTTCTCCTTTGCGGAACCCAACGTGCCTCTCCTTCTCCTCCCCATTCTTCCATCGCTCTGTCCTCAGAAGGTGTCCTCATTTCCTCATTTCCTTCCCTGGTCCCTGGCTCTGTGTGTCCCCCACTTCCCCCAGCCTTTTCTTTTTTAACAGTATCTTGCTTTGTTGCCCAGGCTGGAGTGTAATGATATGATCTTGCTCACTGCAACCTCCGTCTCCCAGGTTCCAGTGATTCTCCTGCCTCAGCCTCCCAAGTAGCTGGGATTATAGGTGCCTGCCATAATGCCCAGCTAATTTTTGTATTTTTGGTAGAGACGGGCGTTTCACCATGTTGGCCAGGCTGGTCTCAAACTCCTGGTCTCAAGTGATCTGCCTGCCTCAGCCTCCCAAAGTGCTGAGATTATAGGTGTGAGCCACCGCACCTGGCCTGAGTCCCTCCTTTCTTTCCACACATTCTCCTCGAGTGCTCCCTTTTTTTTTTTTTTTTTTGAGACAGGGTCTCACTTTCTCACCCAGACTGGAGTGCAGTGGCACGATCTTGGCTCACTGCAACCTTCACCTCCCAGGCTCAAGTGATTCTCCTGCCTCAGCCTCCCAAGTAGTTGAGATTATAGGCACGTACCACTACTGCCCAGCTAATTTTGTATTTTTCGTAGAGATAGGGTTTCACCATATTGGGCAGGGTGATCTCAAACTCCTGACCTTGGGTGATTTGCCCACCTCGGCCTCCTAAAGTTGAGGGATTAGAGGCGTGAGCCACTGTGCCCAGCCCCCTTCCTTCTTCTTAGTCAGTCCTCTCCCAACTCTTCTTCCTCTAGTCCCCTCACCTGATGGTTCTGGCACTTCATCATCCAAAATCTCTGGGAGGGAGTATCCCGAGGTGCTAGGCTGGGGGCTCTGGTACTCATCCTGGGGATGTGGTTGAGGGCTGGCCATGATCTCTGCCAAACTCTGTTCCCTCCCACAGAACCTAGTCCCTGTTCTGTCCAAAGCCTTCTTCCAGACTCTATAGGACCCAGAAGAGTGCGTTCTCTCAAGTCTGGGGAGAAGTCAGGAGTGGAGAACAGCTCTGAGAAGTTGCTGTTATCCACCTGAGCTCCTGAGTAACCATGGAATCCCATCCTTCCAATCAGGGAGGTTGGAATCTCTGATGTCATTGGTTGTGCCAACCTGGCAACTAGTTTGAAGAAAAACACGTGTAACTGACAGACTGGTCTCCTGTCCTGGAGATCTGGGGTGAACGGTGTCTCCTGCCACTGTCCCAACCTCAGACCATTGTCCAAAAGCATCTTCAGGGTCTCTGCATCCCTCTCTTCCCTGTCCCAGCAGAGGCTGCATCGTCTCCACTCAAAGCTGAAAGTGTGTTGGGGTCTCCTCTGTACATGCCCATTTCAGAGTCCAGTCTGGTGGGAGAGGGAGCAGGGTGGCAAAGAAAAGTAGGGTACGCAGAAATGATGAAACCTTACAAGAGTGAGATTAGGATGTACAAGAGATCCCAGGTACATTGACTTGATGAAAAAGTTACCTCAAAGCACTCAATTTGGCAAAGCTTTTCTGCTGAATGTTTACTGACATACACTGTCCGAGATTCTATACTGGGGTACACACGTCCTCTGCCCTAAGGCATCTTCACGTCCAAGAGACATTTTGAGAACTGAAAATCATAGGAAACTGTCCATGAGCTCACACATATTTCCAACGGTGTCCCCAGTTTCAGGGAGTCCATGGATCACCTAAAGCCAGCCCCTCCAGTTCAGCTAAGAAACTCTAGTCCACATATCAAGTTTCGTATCATATGTATTGCTCTTAATCAGAAATTTCCCTACCATTTATGTATTCTTTGAATAAAATATCAAATGTACAAAAAGACTAAGTTAAAAAATCTCAGTTGTGCACAGTGGCTCATGTTTGTAATCCCAGCACTTTGGGTGGCCAAGGGAGGAAGACTGCTTGAGGCCAGGAGTTCAAGACCAGTGTGGGCAACATAGCAAGATCCCATCTCTAACCCAAACCAATCCAAAGTAGCCAGGTGTGGTGGCTTGCACCTGTGTTCCAACTACTTGGGAGACTGAGGCAGAAGGATCGCTTGAGCCCAGGAGTTAGAGGCTGCAGTGAGCTATGATTGTGCCACTGCACTCCAGCTTGTGCAACACAGTGAGACTTTGTGTCAAAAAAATTTTTTTGATAAAAAATAAAACAGTTGCATGACATTCAGAGGCCATCCAAAGAGCCTGTGAGTTCCAGCTGGGCACAGTGGCTGATGCCTGTAATCCCAGCACTTTGGGAGGCCAAAGCAGGTGGATCACCTGAGGTCAGGAGTTCGAGACCAGCCCGGTCAACATGGTGAAACCATGTTTTATATTTTCTCTCCTAAAAATATAAAAAATTAGCCAGGCATGGTGCTGGGTGCCTGTAATCCCAGCTACTCAGGAGGCTGAGGCAGGAGAATCACTTGAACTTGGGAGGCTAAGGTTGCAGTGAGCCAAGGTCACACCATTGCACTCCAGCCTGGGCAACAAGAGCAAAACTGTGTCTCAAAACAAAAACAAAAACAAAGAACTTGTGTTGAGCTCCCGCACAACTTCCTAACAGGCTGACTCTTCAAGGAGTCTCTCGCTCATGGGAACTACACAAACTGAATGAGGAAGCAGATCCCATTGCTGTGGAAGTCCTATTTTAGGAATCTCTGCTTTTCTGGAGTTAAAATTTGCATTTATGTTGCTTTCAACTGTCAGAGCTGGTTGGGTCCTTCTACAACAAGGACCCAACTCTCTCTCTCCTAGTTAGCAGGCTTTCAAATATTAGATCAGTGTTCTGACCCCATTAAAATTTCTCTTTTGTGGAATGAAAACCTCTGATTTAACCCGCCTTTAAGCCTGGTTTGCGTATTCCTCTCTCTTCTAGCCACCTTGTTTAGACACACTACACTGGGCAGCGCCCATCTTTTTTTTTTGAGACAGAGTCTTGTTCTGTTGCTGAGGCTGGAGCACAGTGGCATGATCCTGGCTCACTGCAACCTCTGCCTCCTGGGTTCAAGTAATTCTCCTGTCTCAGCCTCTTGAGTAGCTGGGATTACGGGCACATGCCACCACACCTGGCTAAATTTTATATTTTTAGTAGAGATGGGATTTCAGTATGTGGGTCAGGCTGGTTTCGAACTCCTGATCTTGTGATCCACGCGCCTCAGCCTCCCAAAGTGCTGGGATTACAGGTGTGAGCCACCATACCCAGCTGGCCATGCCTATTTTAAATGATGTTGATACATTGTCAAAAAATGGGTTAAACAGGGTGGGCACCATTGCTCATGCCTGTAATCCCAATACTTTGGAAAGCCGAGGCAGATGCACACCAGAGGTCAGGTGTTCAAGACCAGCCTGGCCAACATGGTGAAACCCATCTCTACTTAAAAAAAAAAAAAAAAAAAAAAAGCTGGGCATGGGTTTATGGGGTTGACATGTATAATCCTAGCTACTCGGGAGGCTGAGGCAGAAGAATTGCTTGAATCTGGCAGGTGGAGGTTGCAGTGAGCCGAGATCACGTGACTGCACTGCACTACAGCCTGGGTGACAGAGCGAGACTCCGTCTCAAAAAAGAAATAAACAAAAAAATGCTAAACAGCCCAGGTTTGGTCTGATATGTTCAGAAAAAAGCAAAACACTCACCTCTCGCCTTTTCTTTTCCCGCAATGATGCAGTTTAATGCAACAATGGCTATAGGTACGCTGCAGAAATATCACTCAGGTGAAACAGAAGGGCTTTCCTGGCCGGACGCAGTGGCTCATGCCTGTAATCTTGACACTTTGGTTGGCCGAGGTGGGAGGATTTCTTGAGGTCAGAAGTTCGAGGCTCTAGTGAGCTGTGATCCCACCACCACATTCCAGATGGGGCATCAGAGTGAGGCCTGTCTCTAAAAAAACCCTTCGCCCCCGGAAAAAAGGGATTTGCAAATACCAGCCTTTCAGCGTAAGGATCACATGGAGAAACACTAAGATACAGATGCTGAGATCCAGCCCCACTGATTCTAATTCAAAAAATTGCGGTGGGGCCTGATTTAACTTCATCGTTGGAATCCATTAAGATTTAGAACTCTGTGGGATGGAGAGTGCAAGGGAGATCCTACAGAAAGCAAAATCACCGTGGACCAAAATGAGCAGAGAAGGTTTTCTGAGAGTGGTGAAATATGATCTGGGCCTCATGGGGGAGGGCTGTGGCCAGGCCTTGAGTCCTTGGCTCAGTGGGACTTCTGAAACAGCCTCCAAGCCACGCCCCCGCTTCCTTTGCTGGTGGATGATCCTCCCTCCAGCGGCCTTGGTGCTGATGAAAATAAGTCAACCCGCCGGGGAAGCTCAGCCCAGCAGCCTCCCACACCTGGCCGGCAGCTGCAGTTCTCTGCAGAGTCATGGCTTCTGTACCTTGAAGAAAACTTCCCCTTCTGGGACCCAGACAGCCAGTGAACCCTTAGGAAAAAAGGAATGAAATTACAGAAGAAAACTCTGTGATGGAGAGATGGAGAACAGGCTCTTTGTTTTTGTTATTTATTTATTTATTCATTCATTTTTTGAGATGGAGTTTCACTCTTGTTGCCCAGGATGGAGTACAGTGGCGTAATCTCGGCTCACTGCAACCTCCACCTCCAGGGTTCAAGCGATTCTCCTGACTCAGCCTCCCGAGTAGCTGGGATTACAGGCATGTGCCACATGCCCAGCTAATTTTTGTATTTTTAGTAGAGACAGGGTTTCAGCATGTTGGCCAGGATAAAATGTTTGTATTTTTATAGTAGAGGTGGAGTTTCGTTATGTTGTCCATCCTGGTCTTGAAGACCTGACTTCTAATGATCCACCTGTCTTTGCCTCACAAAGTGCTGGGATTACTTACAGGATTGAGCCACCTCACCCGGCCTCTTTTTTTTTTTTTTTTTACCTTTTTTTTAAAGAGATGGGGTTTTACCATGTTGGCCAGACTGATCTTGAACTCCTGACCTCAGGCGGTCCACCCTCCTCGGCCTCCCAAAGTGCTGGGATTACAGGCGTGAGCCACCACACCCGGCCTGTTTTTGTTTTTTAGAGACAAGGTCTCTGTTGCCCTGGCTGGGATGCATTGTACAATCAGCTCTCTGTCACCTCCTGGGTTCAAGCAATCCTCTCCTCTCAGCCTCCCAAGTAGCTGAGACTACAGGTGCATGCCTGTAGTAGATAGAGGGTCTTGCTGTGTTGCCCAGGCTGGTCTCAAACTCCTGGTCTCAAGCCAGGATGGTCTCAATCTCTTGACCTCATGATCTTCCTGCCTCAGCCTCCCAGAGTTCTGGGATTACAGGCATGAGCCACTGAGCCTGGCCAGATAAGATGATCTTTACGGGCCGTTCCCATGGTAACATGTTCAAGGCAGCAGGACAGTGGCTGTAGCAAATTTCACATAACCGGGTCTACTAGTATTATGGGCTGCATGACATGCCCCAACCCCAAGTTCATGTATTGAAGCCCTGAGCCCCAGGACCTCACAGGTAACCTTATTGGAGCCAGAGTTTTTACAGAGCTGATCAAGTTAAAATGAGGTCACTAGGGGCCGAGTGTGGTGGCTCACACCTGTAATCCCAGCACTTTGGGAGGCCGAGGCAGACAAATCACTGAGGCCTGGAGTTCGAGACCAGACTAGGCAATGTGGTGAAAACCCATCTCTACTAAAAGTACAAAAATAATAGGGCATGGCAGTGCATGCCTGTAATCCCAGTTACTTGGGAGGCTGAGCCATGAGCATTGCTTAATCCTGGGAGGCAGAGGTTGCAGTAAGCCAAGATTGCATCACTGCACTCCAGCCTGGGCAACAGAGAGAGACTCCATCTCAAAAAAAAAACAAGGTACAGAGCACTAGAAAACAGTTTAGTGGCTGGGCACAGTGGTTCATGCCTGTAATCCCAGCACTTTGGGAGGCTGAGGCAGGCGGATCACGAGGTCAAGAGATTTAGACCATCCTGGCCAATATGGTGAAACTGTCTACCAAAAATACAAAAATTAGCTGGGTGTGATGGTGTGTGCCTTGTAGTCACAGCTATTTGGGAGAATGAGGCAGGAGAATCACTTGGACCTGGGAAGTGGAGGTTGCCGTGAGCAGAGATTGTACCACCGTACTCCAGGCTGGTGACAGAGCAAGACTCCATCTCAAACAACAAGAAGAAGAAAAAAAAATGAAAGAAAACAGTTTGCTGATTCCTCAAAAAGTTAAACCCAGAATTGCTATATGATTCAGCAATTCCAGTTCTGGGCATACACACCAAAGGAGATAAAAACAGGTCCTCAAATACTTGTATACACATACTCAAAGCACATTATTCATAGCGACCAAAAGGTAGAGAAAACCATCCATCAACAAGTGAATGGATAAAGCAAATGTGGGACATATGTGTAATGGAAGATTACCACGTTTTAAGAAGGAATGTTGTGCTGATATATACATTTATAAATGTATTGCCTCTTAGCTCCAAACTCACCCTTTTTGCTTGCTCTGTGATAGTGGAGTTGTTCCTCATAAACCTTTCTCCCATGCCAGCCACAGCAATGACTTGCTAGAGGAGGTGCTAAATGAAAACAGGGGGGCTTAATTTCATTCTTCATTCCCCTGTAGTTAGATAAGGAAACTGACACTCAGAAAGTTGTCCTAGTCGCACAGCAAGAACTGTCAGCTGGAGTGGAAGCCTGGGTCTCCTGATGGGGCCACACCTCCACCTGCTCTGTAAAATCCTTTTCCAGTGGTCTCTGTATGCCCTCCCAGCAGAAGCCTTTGGCAAGAACACATCAGGGAATGTTGATTCCAGGGTCCAATATTCTCCCTCTTTCTCTTTCTCTTCAGGTATGTTCCAGTTCTCTCTCTCTCTCTCTCTCTCTCTCTCTCTCTCTCTCTCTCTCTCCCCCCCTCTCTCTCTCTATCTTTTGTTTTTCCTTTCTTTCCTTCCTTCCTTCCCTCTCTCTTTCTCTCTTTCTTTCTTTCCTTCTTTCAGTTCACTCTGTAGCCCAGGCTTGAGTGCAATGGCACAATCTCAGCTCACTGTAACCTTCACCTCCTGGGTTCTAGTGATTGTTTTGCCTAAGTCTCCCAAGTAGCTGGGATTACAGGTTCCCGCCACCAGGCCCAGCTAATTTTTTGTATTTAGTGGAAACAAGGGTTTCACCATGTTGGTCAGGCTGGTCTCAAACTCCTGACCTCGGGTGATCTAGCTGCCTTGGCCTCCCAAAGTGCTGGGATTACAGGCATGAGCCATCTCGCCCAGCCCAGGGATCAGTTTTCTTTCCCTTGCCTCACCTTGATCTATCACCTCATCTTGGTTCCCAGGTGCCTGATCCCATCCAGGTCCCCATTCTGGGTCCTGGAGAAGGGCTTATTGTAACAGAGAGTGAAATCTAACATAGGTGACTCCATCTTGCTTCTGACCTCACAAGCCACTGCCTTTGCTCATCCTTGCTCATGGGTCAAGCTATCTATGGGAGAAATTTATAGTTTAACTTGGAAGGAAGGATGACAATAGTCCCTTCATCAAACTAGCATCCAAGGAGAGAAGGAGGGGGTACACGAGTATTAATTACAAGGTTGTGTTAAAGATGTAGAGGACAACTGTGACCTGACCAAGGACAAAGAAGTTTGGCAACCTCTGGCCAGGCGCCACAGGCCCGTAATCCCAGCACTTTGGGAGGCCGTGGTGGGCGGATCACCTGAGGTCAGGAGTTCAAGACCGGCCTGGTCAATATGGTGAAACCTTGTCTCTGCTAAGAATAGAAAAATTAGCCAGACATGGTGGCAGGAGACTGAAATCCCAGCTATTCAGGAGAATCGCTTGAACCCTGGAAGCAGAAGTTTCACCATTGCACTCCAGCCTTGGGCAGCAATTGGCAACCTCCTTGGACTCACGCCGACACCCAGATGTCTGTGGTCACCAGTCCCCTCCCAACCTCAGCCCTCTTCTTGTTCCTTTTTCCCTAATATAAAAACAACTAAAAAAAAAAAAGAAAAAGAAAAAAAGAAAAGAAAAAAGAAAGAAGCTTGAGAGTCACGCCTTTTTTTAAAAGGTTATTTTAATTTTTTTCTGATGCTGTAACTCAGGCAAGAGTGCAGTGACTCGATCAAGGGTCACTGCAACCTCTGCCTCCCAGACTCAAGAGATCCTCCTGTCTAAGCCTCCTGAGTAGCTGGGGCCACAGGTGCATGCCACCCCATGCCTGGCTAAGTTTTGTTTTGTTTTGTTTTTGGTAGAGGTAGGGTTTACCCATGTTGCCCAGGCTGCTCTCGAACTTTTGGGCTCACATGATCCTCCCACCTTGGCCTCACAAAATGCTGAGATTACAGACCTCCACGCCTGGCCTCTAGATTCATGCTTTTTTGTTTTTGAGATGGAGTCTTGCTCTGTTGCCCAGGCTGGAGTGCAGTAGCATGATCTCGGCTCACTGCAACCTCCCTCTCCCAGGTTCAAGTGATTTTTCTGCTTCTGCCTCCTGAGTAGCTTTTTGCCTTTGTGAAAGGAACAAAAATCTTGGGATCCCCCACCCCTGCCAACAAATCACTAAGCCAAAGGGGAAAGCCAAGCTGGGAGCTGCATCAGGCAAAGCTGGGACAGTAGATAGAATAGGCATGAGCAGGGCAGGAGGGCTCTTCCCCTGCTCCCTAGGAATATCAGGGGATGGTTTGGCAATCATCTCATTGCCTCTCTAAAGGGATAAATTGGCCAGGCAAGGTAGCTCATACCTGTAATCCCAGCACCTTGTGAGGCTGAGGCATGTGGATCACTTGAGGTCAGGAGATGGAGACCTGCCAACATAATGAAACGCTGAATCTGCTGCAAATACAAAAATATTAGCTGGGCATGGTGGTGCATGCCTGTAGTCCCAGCTGCTCAGGAGGCCAAGGCAGGAGAATTGCCTGAATCCAGGAGGTGGAGGTTGCAGTGATATCATGCCACTGCGCTCAAGCCTGGGTGAAAGAGCCACCCTTGTCTTAAAAAAAAAAGTGATAAATTGGCAGCTGGTGCCAGGGAGAGACCATTGCCTGATGGTTCACACCTGTTGCATTAAAGTGTGAATTGAATGCAGGCCCCAGGGAGAAGCAAAAAGGGGCTTCCAATAAAATGTCAGGTATTGCACGAGTAAGCCCAGCCATGTGCATTAAGAGACAAAATGGGCCAGGCGTGGTGGCTCATGCCTGTAATCCCAACATTTTGGGAGGCCAAGATGGGTGAATCATGAGGTCAGGAGTTGAAGACCAGCCTGGCCAACATGGTGAAACCCCTTCTCTACTAAAAATACAAAAATTAGCTGGGCGTGGTGGCAGGCACCTATAATCCCAACTACTCAGGAGGCTGAGGCAGGAGAACCACTTGAACCCGGAAGGTGGAGGTTGCAGTGAACTGAGATCGCACCACTGCACTCCAGCCTGGGTGACAGAGCAAGACTTCATCTAAAAAAAAAAAAAAAAAAAAAGACGAAATAGGGGAGTATGACCTTCTGGGGGTACACCACCAGAAAAGGGAAGATAGTCTCAGATGGGCATGCACACAAGTTTCTAAACACATGGCAGGTGCTCCCCTGCCCACTGCAGCAGCCCACCCTAAGGAAGGAATCGTGGGAACGAGTCCAGTCTGTAAAGTCCGAGGATCAAGGTTAACTACCACACTTGACCTCAGTGCCCTCTTGGGTCTCTTCCAATTGTACTTCCCTTTCTTTTCTTCTTTTCTTTTCTTTTTTGTATTTTTAGTGGAGACAGGATTGCTCCATGTTGGTCAGGCTGGTCTCGAACTCCTGATCTCATGATCCACCCACCTTGGCCTCCCAAAGTGCTGGGATTAAAGGTGTGAGCTGCCCCTCCTGGCCAGATGTCTTGTTTGTTTGTTTTGAGATGGAGTCTTGCTCTGTTGCCCAGGCTAGAGTGCAGTGGTGCAATCTTGGCTCATTGCAACCTCTGCCTGCCAGGTTCAAGCAATTCTCCTGCCTCAGCCTCTGAGTAGCTGAGATTACAGGCGTCTGCCATCATGACTGGCTAATTTTTGTATTTTTAGTAGAGACGGGGTTTCACCATGTTGGTCAGGCTTGTCTTGCACTCCTGACCTCAAATGATCCGCCTTGGCCTCCTAAAGTGCTGGGATTATAGGTGTGAGCCACCTCGGCTGGCCAGTGTTGCCTGGTTCTTCACTGTACACGTGGTGAAAAAGAAAAGGGAAGATGGAGTCCCCCTGTTGCACACACCTGGCTTCCAGTTTGCCTTTCCTATTGGCACAGCTGCTGGCATCCGTTCGTGAAGCTAACAGTTTGCTTATTTATGTCTACAGCTCAGTTTTTCAGGCTGCTCTTTGTTAAAAAAAGAAATGATTTGGGCTGCGTTTTGTTAAAAGGGAGGCTTGCCAAGGACTGCTTTACCCATCACTATCTGCTTAAGTAATTTCTTTTTTTTTTTTTTTTTTTTGAGACAGTTTAACTGTCTACCCAGGCTGGAGTGCAGTGGTGCCATCTTGGCTCGCTGCAATCTCCACATACCAGGTTCAAGTGATTCTCCTGCTTCAGGAGTTTCACCATGTTGGCCAGGCTGGTCTCCAACTCCTGATCAAGTGATCCACTCACCTGGGCTTCTCAAAATGCTGTGATTACAGACCGTGAGCCACCATGCCTGGCCTCTTTACTGGAACTTATCATAAGAAATTTTGAGTTTGACTATTAAAAATCTCTTGAGGATAGGATGTGACAGATTCAGATAAACTCCTCTCATCTCAAGGTGCCCCAAATATCCCAAGGTTCCTGGGACTTCCAGGAAGTGATCCTCCTCATTCACATGTAAGGCTAGGAAACCTGCAAGCCAGGTACCAGCACAATATTCCCCAGAAGGCTTTGTAAGTAGTGGCTCCATAAAGTCAACCTTAGTTCCTTAAGTCAGACTTTATGAGGCTGGGTGCGGTGGCTCATGTTGGGAGACCGAGATGGGTGGATCAACTGAGGTCAGGAGTTTGAGACCAGCCTGACCAACATAGTGAAACCCCGTCTCTACTAAAAATACAAAAATTAGCCAGGGATGGTGGCTCATGCTTGTAATCCCAGCTACTCTGGAGTCTCAGGCACAAAAATCACCGGGAGGGGCAGAGGTGGCAGTGAACTGAGAGTGTCTCACTGCACGCCAGCATGGGCAACAGAGTGAGACTCTGTCTTAAAAAAAAAAAAAAAAAGATTTTAGGCACGATGTTTCTGAATTTGGGAGGGATCAGCTAGGAAAATAGATAAATGTTTCAGTTATTTTTTCAATCCAGACTGGAGTGCAATGGTGCGATCTTGGCTCACCGAAACCACCTCCTGGGTTCAAGTGATCCTCCTGCCTCAGCCTCCAGAGTATCCTGGACTACAGGTGTGCACTGCCACCGTGCCTGGCTATTCTTCCTCCTTCTCCTCTTTTCCTTCTCCTCTTCCGATTACAGGTGTGAGCCATCCCACCTGGCTGTTCCTCCTCCTCCTCCTCCTCCTCCTCTGATTACAACTATGAGCCCAGGACCTGCCCATCTGCCAGAATATCCCTGCCTTGGGCAGATTAGCTGTCTCACTCTCAGCTTGAACCATCTTCTCATAACTATTGATAGTATTAGGTGTGCTATTAATGCTTACTGGCCTGTATGTTTTACTGGCCTTTATGTTTTCAGAGTCCTGATTTTTAGCAGGCATCGGAAGTTCCAGGAGGCTTTGTTTTCTTTTTTAGGAGACAGGGTCTTGCTCTGTTGCCCATGCTGGAGTGCAGTGGTCATCATAGTTCACTGTAGCCTGGACCTACCAGGTTCAAGTGATCTTCCAGCTTCAGCCTTCCAAGTAGCTGGGACTACAGGCCCGCACGCTACCATGCCCTGCTAATTTGTTGTTGTTGTTTTGGGCTTTTCATTTGTTTGTTTTGAGATGGAGTCTCACTCTGTTTCCCAAGCTGGAGTGCAGTAGTGTGATCTTGGCTCACTGCAGCCTCTGCCTCCTGGATTCAAGCGATTCACCTACCTCAGCCTCCTGAGTAGCTGGGACTACAGGCTTATGTCACCATGCCCAGCTAATTTTTATATTTTTAGTAGAGACAGGGTTTCGCCACATTGGCCAGGCTGGTTTTGAACCCCTGACCTCAAGTGATCTGCCCACCTTAGCCTCCCAAAGTGATGGGATTACAGGCGTGAGCCTCCATGCCCAGCCAAAAAAAACACTGATTTCAAGACACATCTTGAATTATTTAGGAATGAAATGATGTGATGATGGGAATTTGCTTTGAAATAATAAAGGGATGAAGGAGCCCCCTGGTTCCAGCCGTGGGTAAAGACAGCTGGAGCCAGAATGTCTGCGTTGATTATTGTTGAAGCTGGGTGTGGGTACATAGGGTTCATTATGCATTCTCTAGCTGTTATATTCAGAAATTTCCCATAATAATTGATTTTAAAAGAAGTCAGCCAGGCAAAGTAGCTCATGCCTGTAATCCCTGCACTTTGGGAGATGAAGGTGGAAGGATGGCTTGGGGCCAGGAGTTTGTGACCAGCCTAGGAAACATAGGGAGACCTTGTCTCTACAAAAATAAAACAATTAGCCAGGTGTGGTGGTGCACACCTGCAGGCCCAGCTACTCTGGAGACTGAAGTGGGAGGATCACTTGAGCCCAGGCGTTCAAGGCTGCAGTGAGCTATGACTGCACCACTGCACTCCAGCCAGTGACAGAGAGAGACCTTGTCTCTAAAAAGTAATTTTTTTAGATATTTAATTTATTTACCTAGTTGAAGAGGGAGTTTCACTGTCGTCCAGGCTGGAGTGCAGTGGCATGATCTTGGCTCACTACAACCTCCATCTCCCAGGTTCAAGCAATTCTCTTGCCTCAGCCTCCTGAGTAGCTGGGATTACAAGTGTGGGCCACCACGCTCGGCTAATTTTCATATTTTTAGCAGAGATATGGTTATACCATGTTGGCCAGCCTGGTCTCAAACCCCTGACCTCAAGTGCTCCACCTGCTTTGGCCTCCCAAAGTGTGGGATTCCAGGCATAAGCCACCACACTGGACTTTTATATAAATTTTCTTTTTTTTAAAAGGGTTCTGGTCAGGTCTGTTGATGAGCCCCACGCCCCTTGAGTCTTATCTACTTCCATTGTGTGGCAGCAGTTTCTGTCCCTTTCCTGTTCCCCAGGAGCAGGAGCCAGCACACCTCTCCTTCCCTGCCCCAGGTGCTCCAGCCCCACCTCGCCTCCTTCCAAGGTCACCCTCCTGGCATGCCCACTCCAGTGCCTGGGATGTAGGGGAGGAGAGGTAGGTGGGTGGTGTCTTACCTGCAGCATAGAGATGACGCCAGTGTCCCCCTGGAACACGGCACTCATGGTGTCTGACACATCAAACACAGCTTCCTTGTCCTGGGAGGCACATGGCAGCAGGTGAGGGCCTAGCAGCCCCCTGGCACCCAGCCACAGCCCCACCCCCAATGAGGCATCCTCACTGCCTTACATGGAAAGAACACTCAGTATCCCAATAAAGGAAGGGCTGAAAGCTCCAAGGGCAGCCACGGATGGGGCTGTGTGCATAGGATGGGAGGAGGTATGGGAGTCCCAGGGGGCCCTGCCTGGGTGTGCCAGAGCCCCGAGAACTGGCACGTGGTATATAAGCAGCAGGCCTCCGCCGGCAACCGACCCCAGTTTCGCGCCTGTAAGTCTTTGTTATAGGTGCTGGAAGTTTCTTGAGGGTCATCAGGAGCCCAGCACACTGTGGGAAGAGAGAGGCACAGGGGTTGGACCTGGGATCTTGCCGCCTGGCCACCACCCCGAATCTGAACAGAGGGCCCGCCCCTCTCCCTGCCCTGCTCACCCGCCCTAACACATGTCACACCTTGCTCTGGATGCTCCAAGCCGTCAGGGTTTTTCTTCTGGGGCATCAGGCTGCTGCGGTGCTGGGGACAGAGGTGCGGGCAATGAAGGGGCTGGACCCTTGGCTGGTCCAGCAGTGCACTGGCCAGGTCTGGCAGAGGGGTGGGGTGGAGAGGAAAAACGCCATGCCCATGGGGGGTGGGGAATACAGAGGCCAGGAGGGGCAGGTAGAGGTGGCAGCTGGGGGCTTACCTGTAGGCATCTTAGAGCTGCAAGAAGCTGAATTCCTTGGTGCCATAGAGGATGAGGTCCTTGGCCATCCTGCTGAGATGGGTCATGCACAGCAAAGCCCAGAACAGGAGCTTGGCTGGGAGGGAGAAAAGGTTCCCAGTCACCAGGCCTCTCCCATCCCACCCAGCCTGAGCATACAGGGGGTGGGAGGAGGTCTGAAACCTTTTCTCCCTCCCAGCCAAGCTCCTGTTCTGGGCTTTGCAGTGCATGACCCATCTCAGCAGGTTAGCTGAGGATGTCATACCTTGAGGTAAGAAAAGCTGATTTATTTAAAACAACAACAACAAAAAACAGGCTAGGTGCAGTGGCTCACATTTGTAATCCCAGCACTTGGAAGGACAAGGCAGAAGATGGCCTGAGCCCAGGAGTTTCAGACCATATGCCTACAGGTAACCTCCAGCTGCCACCTCCCGGATATCTCTGGTGAGATATCATTCACATACAATTTACCCATTTATTTTATTTTATTTTTTATTTAGTTAGTTTTTTTGAGATGGAGTTTTGTTCTTGTTGCCCAGGCTGGAGTGCAGTGGCTCAATCTTGGCTCACTGTAGACTTGGCCTCCCGGGGTCAAGTGATTCCCCTGCCTCAGCTTCCTGAGTAGCTGGTATTACAGGCACCTGCCATGACACCCAGCTAAATTTTGTATTCTTAGTAGAGATGGGGTTTCACCATGTTGGCCAGTGCTGGGATTACACAACCGTGCCCCACCCAATTGACTCATTTAAAGTTTACATACAGTGTGCAACCATCACCGCAACCAGCCTGATCATACAGGGGTAGGAGGAGACTGGAGAGAAGCTCGGCTAGGGGACAAAAGTGAGGCACAGGGCAGGGGAGTGGCTCCCCAAGACTCACCCCCAAAGTTGAGTTCTGGGGGTGGGAGGAAGCGGGGCTGGGCTGGAGCAACAGGGAGTGGCCTCCTCTCCCCCAACCAGGTTGCCCAGGCCCCTCCCACTGGAAAGAGAATGGGGCAGGGCAGGAGCTGGGGGGAGGGATCTTTTGCACAGTTCCAGGAGGGAAGCAGGAGCCCTGAGTCTCTCAGTACCAGGCGCCCCTGCCGTGGGTGACCACTGGGCTGGATGACCTCAGTGCCTGTAGGCAATGAAAGAGGTTTCACCAGGAGATACAGGCCCCTGCCCTCTGGTGTCAGGTGGGTCTGTGGGTCCTGGTGGGTGCTGAGGGTGACTCTACTTGGAAAATGAGGGCAGGGCATCTGATCTGCTGAGAGCAGTTCTTGGTCCACACCCAGGGGATTGCCCGCAATGGCACCACTGCAGGGACAGGGATTCGTGATGACCAGGGCTCCTAGCAGGCATCCCTGACACACACATACATACACACACACACACACACACACAGATACACAGAACCAAGTCCTGATTTCCAGGGCAACATCCTGAAACTCAGCCCCTTCCCTGGCTCAGTTGCCACAGGTGCACAACACTTGTCCCCAAGTGTCCCCAGAACACTTATCTTCAAGCACTGAGTCGCCTTGGGTGCAGGACACTTGTCTCCTAACACACATCCCCATGTATCAGGCTGAGGGCAGTGGGCTGGGCTCGCCAGGAGCCTCTCTGGAGAGCTCTGGCCCTGCTCAGACACATTCACCAGCTTAATCGTCCCCATCTTAGTGAGAGCAGGGGCTACATGCAGGGTCCCCCTCTGAGCGAATAACTCGGCTTTCTGTCCCACTCTGCCCTTCCCAGCTTGTCTGTCAATCCCTAAGGCTATGCAGCAGCCACCCCAACCAGGCCCTCAGGGTACTGGAGCCTCACCCACCTCCCAAGGGCAGGACATCGATCTGCTTCCGCACCTCCAGCAGCCGTTCAGAGTCTCGGGTCAGCACCATGGCATGGCTGTGGGAAGCCAGGGGCAGGAAGGTGAGGGCAGCCGGGGTCCTCCCCTCCAGCATGGCCCCTGCACCTCACCCGGCTCACCTCAGAATCCAGTGTCTCCAGTGGGCTGGGTCCTCAGCAGGTGGGTGTGCCCCCAGAAGAGGATGTCATGTTCCCTGTGGGAGAGGAGGCACAGGGGCTCAGGTGGAGGCTGGGGCAAAGCCTGCCAGTGACAGTGGGACCCTACAGGCCTGGGTCAGCTTGGAAAGAAGGGTTGCCCTGCAGCACTGCACCTGAACAAGGGATCCAGGATCTCCCAGGGACAAATTGCAATTAAGGGAAAAAGAGGCCGGATGTGGGGCCGTGTGAACCAAGGACTGGGCCTGAGCTGTGGGGCCTCCTGGGATGAGGCTGTGCCAGGAACACCCAAAGCCTGAGCCTCTGCCACTCAGCATCTCTGAGCGGGGGCCAGAAGAGGGGAGGAGGCCCGTGTTGGGTATGACCTGACCACAGGAGGTTTCACTTGAGTACCCCAGAAATAGCTGGGGCCATTCAAGAGCTGCTCCAAGCAGGTGAGACACCGTGCTCCTCATTCAGGTAGGCAGGGCAGAGGTGGAGTGATGTGCTGTGAGTGATGCTCGTGTTTTCTTGTTTTGTGTTTAGAGACAGGGTCTCACCCTGTTGCCCAGGCTGGAGTGCAGTAGCACAATCACAGCTCACTGTTGCCTCCATCTCCTGGGCTCAAGCGATCCTCCTGCCTCAGCCTCCTGAGTAGCTGGGACTACAGGGTCAAGCCACCATGCCTGGCTCATTTTTGATTTTTGGTAAAGATGGGGTCTTATTATGTTGCCCAGGGTGGTCTAAACTCCTGGGTTCAAGCAATCCTCCTGCCTTGGGCTCCCAGGGGCTGGAATTACAAATGTGAGCAACCACACCTGCCTGTTTCATTGTTGTTGTTTTTGAGACAGAGTTTCTCTCTTGGTGCCCAGTCTGGAGTGCAGTGGCGCCATCTCGGCTCACTGCAACCTCCGCCTCCCAGACTCAAGAGATTCTTTTGCCTCAGCCTCCCAAGAAGCTGAGATTACAGGCGCCTGCCACCATGCCTGGCTAATTTTTTGTATTTTCAGTGGAGACAGGGTTTCACCATGTTGACCAGGCTGGTCTCAGACTCCTGACCTCAGGTGATCCACCTGCCTCAGCCTTCCAAAGTGCTAGGATGACAGGTGTCAGACTGTGCACCTGGCTTGTTGTTTTAAACAAACCAGATTTACTGAGACATCATTCACATACAATTTACTCATTTAAAGTTTACTCTTTAGTGTACAACCATCACCACAACCAATTTAAGAAGACTTTCATCACCCCATAAAGAAATTCTGTACTCGGCTGGGCACGGTGGCTCATGCCTGTAATCCCAGCATTTTGAGAGGCCAAGAAGGAAGAATCACTTGAGGCTGGGAGTTTGAAACCAGCCTAAGCCACATACCAAGACCTTATTTCTACAAAAAAAAAAAATTTTAATTTGCTACTGTGGTACTAGCTCCTCAGAAAGCTGAGGTGGGAGGATTATTTGAGTCCAGGAGTTTGAGGCTGCCGTGAGCTATTACCAAGCCACTATACTCCAGCCTAGGTGAGAGAGCAAGACCTCATCTCTAAAGACAATTTAAAAAGTTAAAAAGTTAAAAATTAGGCTGGGTGCAGTGGCTTATGCCTGTAATCCTAGCACTTTCACTAGGATTACGAGGTGGGCGGATCACCTGAGCTCAGGAGTTCGAGACCAGCCTGGCCAACATGGCAAAACCCATCTCTACTGAAAAAAAATACAAAAATTAGCTCAATGTGGAGGCACACACCTATAATCTCAGCTGCTTGGGAGGCTGAGGCATGAGAATTGTTGGAACCCAGGAGGTTGAGTTTGTAGTTAACCGAGATCAAGCCACTGAAATCCAGACTGGGTGACAAAGTGAGACCCTGACTAAAAAAAAAAAAATTAAACCCTTAACTTCTGTAATCACAGCACTTTGGGAGGCGAAGGCGGGTGGATCACTTGAGGTCAGGAGTTCAAGACCAGCCTGGCCAACACGGTGAAATCCCATCTGTAGTAAAAATACAAATATTAGCCAGGCATGGTGGTGCACGCCTGTAGTCTCAGATACTAGGGAGGCTGAGGCAGAAGAATTGCTTGAACCCGAAAGGCAGAGGTTGTAGTGAGCTGAGATCATACCACTGCACTGCGGACTGGGTGACAGAGTGATACTCTGTCTCAAACAAAAAAAAGGAACCCTGAACTCAGTAGCAGACACTCCCTGTTCTTCCTAGCAGCCCCGCCCCACCTCCAGGGTGACAATGCATGTGCCCTTGTTTCCTCCCAGGTCTGTGAAACATGGGTCACAGGGAGCTGAAGAAGAGGAGGGGTCTCTCCAACACATGGAGACTCCTCAGCAGCTCTTCCTCCAGGTCTGCAAGGAACAAATCCAGACCCAAAGACACCAGGTCCCAGAAGCCAAAACCTGGGATGAGGCCAGCAGGAGGCAGCCTTTGCATCTGTCTTTTGCCAGATGGGCTGGGTGGGGACACCAGACATGGGATGGGAGACATGAGGCACAGGCAACGTAAAAAGTGACTCTGGCTGCTCCAGCCATAGCCAAGCTACTGCCTTAGCTTCCTGCCCTCAAATCTGCAAAGGGTGAGTTTTCTTTCACTTTAATTTTTTTGAGACAGAGTCTCACTCTGATGCCCCGACTGGAGTGCATTGGGGCAATCTTGGCTCACTGCAACCTCTGCCTCCCGGTTTCAGCTGATTTCTCCTGCCTCAAACTCCCAAGTAGCAGGAATTACAGGCACATACCACCACCTCTGGCTAATTTTTGTATTTTTAGTAGAGATGGGGTTTCACCATGTTGGCCAGGCTGGTCTCAAACTCATGTCCTCAGGTGATCCACTTGCCTCGGTCTCCC